AGGCAGTGCGTACCTCTTTCCTTCAACTCCTTTTTTGACTTATCATCATCAACCTCGTCTTTGAATATTTGTGAATAATGGCTTCAGAAGCAGAGGCAGGCAATATGGCTAACCAGTTTTCCTCTGCAAAGCAGCATTCTTCTGCAAGATTTAATCTTCTTTATGGAACACACTGTACTTAGAGCAGTGTCTTGCTGCATCACTGAGCTAATATGTGTTGAGATGGTTTTTGCAGGTTATTGAATATTAAATGACACTCGAGAATTCTAAATAGTCCTTTACTGATCTTGAGTTTTGCCTTCAAAGTACAACTTTGCCCCAACTGCCTTTCAGTATGAATATTTCAGTGTTAGGTCAAAGGCCCAAGATAGATAATGCTGAAGTTCATGAGTGTTTGCAGAGAAGAAGCAGCATTGGTTTTATACCCTGCCCTTCACTACCTGAAGGAGTCTTGGAGCAGCTTACAATCTCCTTCCCTTCCTCTCCCTACAACAGACACCCTGTGAGGTAGGTAGGGCTGAGAGAGCTGTGACTGACCCACGGGCACCCAGCTGGTTTAATGTGGAGGAGTGGGGAATCAAACCCAGTTCTCCAGATTAGAGTTCGCTGCTCTTAACCACTACACCAACAAGTTTAACAGCTGCAGTGGGAAGTATGCTGTGGGTGTGCTATATTATCTTCAAGGGCAATATTGTTATAGAATGGAGAGCACTGCAAGCCAGAAGCATTTTTGACTGCTTTCTAACACTCTTAATAATAAAATATTTTATTTTGAGAAATAAGGAAGTCATGGAAATGAGTTGGAAGGGCCTCAGGAATCAATCCCAACCCCTTGCTGGGAACAAGAATCCTGTCTAAAGCTCAAAGTGAATTTGAAGAGGTCATAAAGCCGATTCTTTTGTTGCTATGGGGTTTGAGTCCTCTTCTTTTTGTTGTCTAACCTGTTCTTAGAGGCCTCCCTACAAGGACAATTTTTCCTTTTCTTATACCTGATTTTAGTTACTGCCATACAGGTTAGGCAAGCTTTGAGTTGTTAAAATTGCATGGAAGTCTCAATTATGTTAGTTTTGCAGATTATTGGGCAAAGTTGGTAGCAACTGACCACAAGTGAGGATTCTTTTACCCACATGCTCATATAACTAAGGTGATCACATGTAAACATTCCTCTCATCGACAAATGCTATTTGCATGATTTGAAGACGCTGTTGTTCCAAAGACTTTTCATTTGAAACTACCAATAAATGGTACTTGATTGAAATAACATGTAGAAAATGATTTTAGCTTTTAGAAGCTCTTCCTATACTATCTGTTTTTTGTTACATACATAGAAAGCAAAAGAACACTGCATTAAAAGTCTTCTAAAGGTCAGTCAGCACAATCTGTTTCCTATACTCTAAATGAGCATAGTGTGTGACTGGAAGGAATAGGTAGTCACCTGCACCATAGCAGTTCATCAAGTTAGTGCCACAGCATTGCATGGTTTCACTTGAGCATGGATGGAATTTTAAGCAAAGCAGAGCTTCCTTGTCTTCTAGGTGTCTACCTTTCTAGTTCTGTATCTGTTGAGATATTGTCCAGAGTGTACAACTATCAGTTGCTGTCATGCAGTCAGCCATGGTTCAGTTTTACTTGTGGAAAGAAGCAAGCACAAGGGGAAATAAAATCTAAGCAATGAAGTATACAGAGTGGTAGAATAACACATGTTTTAGATTCTCTAAAATTAATGGTCTGTGTCTTTCCGTATTGCCCTGAGTTTACAGGGCTCTGGGTGATGAACAATGATAAGATAAAATACATCATAACAGTGTTAAAATTATAGTATAAATTAACCTTATAGTACTCAGTACATTTAAAACAACCCCCAGTGGCTCATAAGATTGTCTTCAGCTAGTTCTTGACTGTGTTGCCTTGCAGGTAGGGGAAGGAGGTGACAATAGAAAAGAGACGGAGGAGAGAAAAGTGCCAGCCAGGTTAACCCCGTTGTTGTCCTCAACCAGAAGCCTGGCGGAACATCTCTGCCTTACAGGCCCTGCAGAATTGCATTAAATCCCGCAGGGCCCTGATGCCATGTGGCAGAGAGGTCCACCAGGTTGGAGCTGGTTGGCTTTAACTGTGGTTAATGTTGCTGGTTGATGCAATTGCATTCTCTACTTATAATGAGACATTTGGAGAAAACTTTGTGGAGGAAGAGCTGCAGGGAGTGGTCATTCAGTCCCATGGTTAAGAGAGAAGCTCTGTACTTGCAAGCGTCATGGAGATTTGCAAGCAGGTCCTCCTCAGTATGTATGCACTGAAGCGCTCAACTTTCCACTGTGCTTAAAATTAGTTTCCATTTCTTTAATATAGACCTAATCCTTTTAAAGGCAACTGTGCACCACAGTTGCTTCAGGGTAAAGTTGGGAAAGAAGAGGAGTAGACTGCATTACAAAACCTTCCAGACACAATTGGTAGATTATCTTAAATAGCTTCTAGACAGCAATTATTGGGGATGCCTATTCCAGTATCACAGCAAACTGTATTCTGGCTTTTGAGGTTAATTGTGAGAATAATGCCAGAGAATCGGTTTTAACCTTCCCCCTGATAGGTGCCTGTAATAGCAGACCTATTCCTGATTTGAATTGATGATGAGTTCCTGCCCTTACACATTAGGATTGATTTTACATTTACATTTTAATGCTTGCTAATGTGACTGCAGTTACAGTTGTATTCATTATAGCATTATAACATCTAATCTTTATTTTAAGGCATGCCTAGGATTGTGGCTTTTTTAATAGCAGCTCATACCCTACCACAAAAGCAGTCTACTATATAATGGGTAGCCATGTTGTTAGTCTTTAAGGTGCTACTGGACTCCTACTTTACTGCTACAGACAGATTAACATAGCTACCCATTATATAGTAGACTGCTTTTGACTATCTGAAAATGTACTTTAGCAGCACTTTTTCACATGCATAATTTTTAAAAGAAACCATTAATCAAATAGGTAATTGTGTGAAGCTCCCTTTGTCCAAAGCTAGACCAGTGGTTCATCTAGCTCAGTTACATGCATTTGTATTCTAATTAGTAATAGATCTTCAGTTCTTAGGAAGATATTTTACCAGCCCAAGCACATGAGGTTCCTGAACGGGAAATGCTGCTGTCTGAAGTCCCCACCAGTTACCTAATTGTAACTGAGGTGCCATGTCATATTGGATCTTATCCAGTCTGTCGTGGGAAGGGTTGTGTGAGAGTTGTTGTGTAGTACTGCTTTTGTAGACTGCCTTCTGTCATGGAATGAGAAGTTGCCTAGAGGCCTCTGCTTCTCCAAGGCAGCCTCTTTCTTCCCATGGGAAGGGTACTTAACAAGCTGGAGGCTGCTCACATATAGACAGCAGAAATCCCAAATTGGAGAAAACCACTTGTGCTGCCTGTTGCAGGAATATGTAGCCCACAACTATTCCTGGGACCCCCAGTTCCCCTGAGTTCTTTTATTGGTTGAGTGGAGACTAGGAAGGGGCTGAATCAAGTACAGAGAGAGTGCATGGTTCTAAAACAAAACTATTTTATTCAGTATAAGCTTTTAAGACAGAAACCACTTCATCAGTTGTAGAGTACATAACATTTCAGTATTCAGCGTACAATAATTTCATAAAACCCCAGTATCTTGAATTAGTGCAGTTGTATGAACCTGAAAGGTCCAGAAATAGAGACCATTCTGAACTGGTCACCTAGGTCCCACTCTCACATGGGGCTGTTGATGGCCAGCCCAGGGGGAACAAATCGTTAACAATTTATACCCCCTAGTCCCATAGGTTCAATCAAAATGGCTGATGTAAGGCTAACACACTTTAACAGAAGGATATCTCTAGTACCATTTTACTCTGTACTCATATCATAGATAGGGAATGATGTTATGTGAAAAATGAAGGATTATAGATGTCATAGTATATCATATTCTGGGAATCTTAAGAGCCTTCAGAAAATTAACTGTTCTGACCTTATTTTGACAGCATGGGAAGTACAGCATGTAGCTGTGACCCCTGTTTTAAGAACCTTATTGGTAGGTCATGTACTACAGTCCTTCACCCAAACCTTGTGGAGACCGTGGGTGTCGGAAAAGGAAATGATAGCCCTAGGAAAATGTAAACTACAAGGAAAGGCCAAGGGCACCAGTCAACACTAGTTTTCATGAATGTCACACCAGCTATACTGCAAAGATCTATTAGCCATTGATTCATGAATGGATTTAGACAGAAACTCAAGCCCATATTAATAAATTCTGCCACACTGGCTTCAGCCTACAGGTATCCTTCTCTTGGGGTATGAAAGGTTGCCTTAGAGGTGCAGAGACTTCTGAGAAAAGGTCTCATTTCCAGTGGAAGGTGTGCTGGCAGGCAAAGCAATGTGACTTTCTGTATTTCTCCATTCAGCCCAAACCTGCCTGCCTAGCTCAAGAACACGCATCAGCTATGCCCATGCACATTGTTCAAAGGTCCGTGCTTTTCTGTCACTGAAGCCAAGACAAGGCCAAGTGTGTCCAGTACCCGGAGGGCAGAGCTGGGTATTCTGGGTGTACATTGCTCTGAGTTCTTCAGGAGAAGAGGAATATTTAAATGTTTCCATATCCTCCCGTATGCTGATGAAGATGCCGGATGTAGTCAGTTTTCATAATTTACCAGTTACAATCCCAAGTAGTACCAGGCCAGTGTATGTAGTGAAACCTGCTATTTGAAAGGTTATTCGTTAATACTGGATATATTGTCACCTGAATCAGCTTTCCTTATGTTAAGAAAGTAGGTTTCTTCCTTGTATCTGATGAAGGGAACTCTGACTCTTGAAAGCTTATACCTTGGCAGTCTTGTTGGTCTTTAAGGTGCTGTTGGACTCAAATCTTGTTCTCCTTATGTTATGAGTGGCTCACACTGATGCAATTCTTGTTAAATGTGTCATGATTGACATGTGACTATTGCAGGTTTGCATGAAAAGCGGCTTACAGGTGTTTGTTTGTTTTTCTCAACAGAGACGGAAGGCTTTAAGATTGACACCATGGGAACTTACCACGGAATGACTCTGAAGTCTGTAACGGTAAGTTGGAAAAAGTATTTGCTGGAACACTGGGAAGCAATGTTCCCTCTAAGCTGTGGATCTTTATCTTGCCTAGCCTGATAGAAATCTGTTGTGTAGTACGATAGTGAAAAATCATTGCCACCTGGGGAATGAAGCAAAGCTGGTTTGTAGCCGAAGCGTTGGTGTTTCTAGTTCTTTTAATGTAGAATTGATACCAGGTTGATTTTGCTTTATGCCCTGTCTGCTTGCGAGACTTCAAGCTGAGTTATGCAGTTCTTTATTTAAAAAGGAGGAGGAGCATCCCATGCAATTGACCATGATTGTTTCATTTTAATGCATAGAGCTACTCATGCAGCTGAGGGAGGAGAGGCTCTGAAACAGGTTATCGTCCTGTGCTTGTCTTAAATTGTCAGCTTTTATGGAAGTGGGTTGTGTGTTCTCAAACAAATGCTGTTTTGATCTAACTGCAAGTAGGACAGATGCTACAGAACTAGTGTAGAAGCCTCATTAAAGACTTTTGCCATCTGTATGCCTATATAAATGTGATGAATAGACGGTACTAAACAGTCTCCAAAATCTGTGCACCTACTTCTAGTTTGCTCTCCTAATTTGAACATAAAATAATGCCTGGAATGTAAATGTCTCAAAACCAATTAGAGCTAACTTGTTTAAACTTTCCCCCATCTAATAAAATTGTCCGTTAAGTTTTTACTATCACCTTCCAGTCTTTAAATGTTGGCCTCTAATTCTGTTTTAATCCAGTAATCTGAGGATTAATCCTGTATAGTGAGGAATCCCAAACAAAGCATTAATGTATGTCACTGGTGAGCAAAGGACATGAAATATTTTGTTTCTGGAGATGTTTTAGTTGGTGAAGGCCCAAGTCGCTGCTGTAACAGCAGCATGTGGGTGAGTGGAGTAAAAGATAAAATTGATATGATTCTTTGCTTGTAATGTAACCTGAATACAAGTGTTTATACTTTGTTTAAAAGGTATGACTATGTCACCTGCTGTATCTAAAATAAGTGTATCAAGCTTCTTCTGAATAAGTTCTCTAACTTACCTTGCAAATAAGTTTCTGAAAAGGGCCGGTCCACTACCATTTCTATCAGTCTGTCTACTCATGTATACCTAGATTAGTCAATTAGAGTCTTATGCAGTGGATTTCCATTTGTCCTGATCCAGGGACCTACTTTGAACCTGCCACATAGGACCTGTTTTTGTACTTTTACTCCTATTGTAAAACAACTCAGAGTACTTTTGACACTTCAACTTGGGCAGGTAAATTGGCACACACTCTGGATGTCAAGAGGCGAAGCCCGGCAGTCCAGAGGCAGATCCCTGTTCCCAAAGGGCTGAGTCCAACAATGGAGGGGCAGCATTGTATAATGGTCAAGTGTTGGACCAGGACCTTGGAAACCAGGGTTCGAATCCCCACTCTGCCACGGAAGCTTGCTGGGTGATGTTGGGCCAGTGACACACTCTCAGCTTAACTTACTCACAGGCTTGTTGTGAGGATAAAACTGAGGAGAGAATGATGTAAACTGTGTTGGGTCTCCATTGAGGAGAAAAGTGAGGTATAACTGAAATAAAAAAATAAAACAGAATATGCAGGAGTATAGCTACAGTGTTTTCCCTGCCACCAAGTAGTACAGGATTCCAGGCCGACAGAGATCCTTCTTATACAAGGCAGACTTTGTATTGCAAGCATGAAGCAAGAATGAAAAATACATAAATAAGCTACACATTATGCCACACGTCTGTCTGTCTCACATACATGGGCACACAGCTTATTAGAAGGTACTGTAGAAAGTAGAAAACATTTAGCCTTATCCTAGACAAGGACAGTACAGAGGAAGACCTCAGAAAGACAATTGCTGCATTCATGGTGGAGAACTGAAAACCCATACAAAGCAGATCAGTAGGAAACCAAACCACAGACTATAAAGATCAAGTGAATGCAGCTGCATCTTTTATTAGTAAAAACTCCTCAAAGCCGATCAATTAGACTTTCTTGTGACTCAAAAACCAGTCATCGAAAAAATCTGTTTTATTCTCTTCCTATACAAAGGCCAAACTAGAAGCATCAATGGCAGACACATTGTCCATCCTATTCACTTATAAAGTAGGGTATGCCTGATTTTAACATCAAAATGGATATGCAGCGAATGCAGCCGGACCTTCTTCTCTCTTCCCCCAGTCCATCACACCAGGCTGGTTCCAGCAATGAAAGTGAGATGAGCTGGGAGAAAACTGCCTGAGGGCAATGGAAACACACTTCAGATGTGCCTCAGTAACCAATCTGTACCCTTGCGTGCCAGATGGCAGACAAGTCTTGGCAAAATGGACTGTGCTATATTGGCTGCTAGTTGAGAATGACTGCAGGAAGCTGTTTGGGTATCAGTAAAATTGACCCAGAGAGCCATCTTGGGTCTGTCTGGCTTATTCTCAAATTGATTAAGAGCACAGACTGTCTGCAGTGCTATGCATGTTAAAGAAAGCGGTACTCTTACAGCTACCGTGCAAATCAAACCTTCCTATTCATAGAAGATTTAGTTTGTACCCTGTGTATACTTTGGAGTAGGTTTCATTGGACTTCAGTGAGGCTTACTTTGGAGTAAGCTTGCTTTAGGATCGAACTGTTAAAAGGGGACAGGATCCCTCCTTCAAGTGGATAAAGGTCTCTCATATACTCATCTGAATATTCCTGCTCTCCATAAGCAACCAGGAAAGTAGCTATTTATGAGCCCGTTCTGATCTGTCTGGAGAAAAGTACATTTGCAGCTGAAGTCATGTGTTCTGATATGGGTTGCATTAGGCATTCTAAACACCATTGTAGTGCAGCCTTTGTCAAGAGCAGGGGGTGGGGAACGATCATATGATCCTTGGCTAGGGAAGGTGTGAAGAATAGCCACCAGAGCAATTTTTTGCTTCTCTAGCACTGCATGTTTAGATGGAGCAAATTATCCCAGATTAGTGGTTAGAACATGATGGCTTGTTTTCATCTTTGAGCAGCTCCTCAACATGGAGCTGAATCACTAAAGGAATGCTTGTCATTTGCCTTTGAGTAGCACTGATAGATTTGAAATATTTTCTATTTTGAAGCAGTGAACAGATCTTATTTTGCTTTTTGACTGTAGGAGTCTGGTCTATTATTACCCCAGTCAAGTTTTTATGATTTCACAATGTCTAAGTTTTTATGAAATTTAGTATGCTTTTTGTTTGGATAATTTGAAGCCAAAGAAAATATGATTTATTATTAACTCACACTTCAGATGCATTTTGGTAAATTATTTTTAGCTCTTTACTGAAAGTAAGAGACGTCTGTCTTGTTATTATTAATGAAACCGTGTAGAACTTTTCACAACTCTGGTGCAACAGATGTGAAGGATGGATATTTTTGAAGTAATTTTAATGAAAATAACCTGTTTGGCAAGGTCTTCTCTGTCATAGTTTTATCTAAAGAGAAGAATGAATGTGTTTAATGATTTTTTTTCTTACCAAATGAGAATTATTTTCTCCGGTTAGCAGCATTATGTATGCACTGTGCTCCTTTCACTTGGAGGCGTCCTCTTTGTTTCCTTTCCATCCTTTCTTAAAGGCTTGTCAGTGGTGGCTGCGGAGCAAGCAGCACACAGTATATTATGTTTTTGCTAATCTTCTATGCATTGCCCAACCTTTATTGTGTTATACAAGTGATGTGCCTTCCTCATATCTCATCCTTCTATAGCTTAATTTCCATGGATTCATATATGGAGTGGCTGGGTTTCATTTTATTTTTTGCACTGGAATGTTTAAAATTTAAAAAACAACAGCCTTTCCGAAATCATAGTTTTCCTCTACACTGGAAAGATTTATTTTTGAGGTTGATTTATGTTCTTTAATAAGATCCACAGCATGCCAAGTCCTAAAAGTCAGAACAGCCCATATTAGCTCACAGTCATCCTTTCAGCAAGCCTATGGGTTGGGTCATTTTATGAGCATCTTTCTCACAGATAAGGAACTTGGACAAGAAAAATGAGCTGGGCAAGGGCACATCTGTTACACTGGTGGTTGATCTAGCTACTTGACATTTCCAAGAGCCATTCTAGTGTACACATGGCAGTCGCATGAACGACTGGGCATACATTTGATGTGTTTGGAATTCTTATTCTTAAATTGCAAAGAGATCTGATGAAAACCTAATTGGATGGATGCCACATGATTACATAGGCTTTCCCTTGAAGGTGACAGTTCGAAGATGGAGAAATGTGAACAATTATACTGAAATTTGAGCAGATAGCATTGGGCAGCCTTCAGACATAAATTGCAATCCAATGCGATTATAAAAAGGTCAGAAAAAATAAGTAATCTGCCATCTTGTCTTGTAAGGTTGAAGTGATGAAAAGTAGTTTTTCTTGTACAGGAACTTCACAGAAATGTGTATATTGCCATGGTTGGGAGAGGATTAATTCTGTACCATCCACTTGTCTTCCCATGATTCTTGAGCAAATCCAGGTCTAAGCATTTGCCAGAAATGGTGTGAAACCTTGTTAATTTTGCTTTAAAAGCCGCCATTTAGCATGCGTGAGCTATTTAATAGGTAATGTTGTTTTGTGACTTTATTGTGTTGCACTCCTAAATGGTTGCTGTCTTTCGGAGTCCTAGAGAAGAGTTGGTTAGAAATCAAGCTACATACAAGGAATATTTATTCTTCAGAGAGTTGACTGAGAAGAAGATTGTCAAATGCAGTTCAGGGTATCAGTTTAGACCTTCTTCAAACACAATAGGAGTAGTAAGCCACCAACAATAAATTGAGGCCCCGGCCCCGATACCAACATCAGTATTAACATCACTATTAACAGCCTGTCCAGACTATGATGTTAGCTGATTATGGGTTAATGTTGGACACTGCTAATGCCCACCATCGGTTATGAATCTGCACTAGCACTTTATGCTATGTTTTATAATCATTTTGTTGTGGTCTTATTGAGTTTTGTGTTTTAGTCATTCAATATATTTTATGTAAGCCGCCCTGA